AACAAGTGCCTTACTAGTAGTAACAAGAAGCTATTAGTAACAAGTGCATCGGGGTCTTTGGTGCTTTCAGCAAGACACAGCAGGTCCGCTTCGCCACGTCGAGTCACGTCGTGATGTTTGGGAACGCGGGACGGTGCACTGACACGCTTTCCGTGCAAAGGAATCCCAAAGGGTTAGAGGGTCAGCCACTGTTGATGGAGTTTTTGCATCCGAAATGGTCCAGGTCAGGGGTCAACCTGTTGGAACTAGGCCAGCAGCGACTTCGTGCCGCTCCTCCAAAAGCTAGGCCTCGGCATTGGATTCCCCTGACAAGCTTAGGTGCGGCACAGATCAGAACTTTCAGTTGTTGTTGGAGGGTAGAAGAAGCTATTGTATCCCACTCAATGTTCAGCTACTGGGCCCTCACTTGTTTTGGGCTGTGGCCATCAAATTCCAATAAATTCCACGTGCAAGCGGGTTGTTAGAAAGCCTGGAGCTGCACTGCAAACATTTAGAGGATCGGTTGTCCCAAACATGGACAGCTGGCGACTTTTGATTAACCATTATGGTTTACAAGTTCACCATATATCATATATATTCTCCACAGAAACAACTCAAAGGGTCTGGAGTATCTTCATCAACAGTTCGACCGGCCAGTCTCCGCACACATCCGCACGCCTCCGCACTCCGCTCTCCCAGCAACGTCCGAGGACGTCGTCAAGGTCCTTGGGGACCATGAAAACTATAGTGACTGCATGGCCATAGTGACTGCAAACTGGAGATCCCCGAATCCTGTTGAGCTGGTTCAATACTCTTTCTGCAAATGATATCGCTCTATACACCGGTCACTCCGTCACCCGAGGCCATGATGAAACGAAGATGTAAACCCGGCTCCTTCGGCTGCCGTGACATAATGGGAATCGGGTGACCGGTTGACGGGTGTGTGGAACTGGTGTGGACTGGCGGAACACACTTGTTTCTAATGTGTCTCTATCCGCGATCAGTGATTACTTCAAATTGTTCAATGAAGTTCAATCAGGTATGTCAGTCATTTCTGCTGTATATGTATCCGAACGAATGCATGATAATGGATCCCAAACAAAGCCTTCATACACCAGCTCGATGGACACCAATCAAAGATCCAATGATGTTTGCAGGACATTCGGGTGTATGTAATTACAAGGGGAGACTGAGAGACTTTACAACGACTGAGTTTAAAGATTCTTCCTCTTCGGATTTAAGACCTGTCTCCATAGGTCTCGGTATGTCTCGGTTGTCGTCTTTGTGGTGAGCAGAGAGTGTTGTTGGGATATGCTCCCGTATGGGCGGTCATTACATGTAATCACATGCCTCATGACAAACTTTTCTTCGGCTGGATGTTTTTTTGCCAAAAACCGAGGGATGGTTGATGAAGGGTTCATTGGCAATGGAGATCAATGGAACAAAACCCGATGTTCGCTCTCCAACAATTCAATGTTAACATCCATGTTGCCTTTTGATAAGACACATTCGTGGGTTCTGCAGAGGTAGTTGGATTCCATGAAGGAACCTTTTCCAGGGAAGTCCAAAGGGTAGTACCAGATACTGGATAATGCAGGTATTTGTTGCTCGTTTTCTGTAGTATGTGTGTGCACGCCGTCTTGGAAGCTCGAAAACCATATCGGGAGTTATACTGGACGGCTGGCATTTGGACCCTAAGTGAGTGTATGCACCCTTACCCCCGGTACCGTCCAATAAGCACCGAAGTGAGTTCTTCTGGTGAAGCTCCAGGGAATGCACTTCGGAAAGTGAGTGTACGACCCAGTCAAGAACCTCCCGGAAGCATCCAGAAGCAGTGTACGACTTATCCAATTTCTTTGGAGGTTGTGGTGAATTGCATGCACGAATGCACGATGGGTTCGTCAAATTTTGTTGATGCTCTCCAAGCGGAGTCCTAACTTGGAAGACGGAAGACGGGGGGGAATGGGCAGAGAGAGAACGGGAAGACCTCAATTGTTTCCTTGTCTCGGCTGTGTTTTTCGAGGATTGGCTTTGTGTCTGAACCAAAAAAAGTCGGATCCCGTTCGAACCGGAACATTCTGAGGTATAGAGAGGACAAAGCATCCTTAGGAGCATCCTCTATATAGCTTCACATGTTTTTCCCAGCACCATCTGCCAAAGCTTCGTTTGCTTCTTTGCGACACAGCTATTTGCTTAGCAAACAGATACAATCAAAGACAGAACATGTGCACACTGAGGGACCCCAGGTAAAGCACCAACAAAAGGTTTGGCTTTACAAAGTCAGCGCACACTGAAACAATATAGTTATATAGTTTAATATGGCTTGAATGTTTTTCATGTTCTCGACCGGCCAAGCATGGATGCGGCTCGAGCACTGGGGGCCCTGTCTCTGAGCCTCCTTGAGCCGCTGGAGTTGCCGTCCCACTCGCCATACTGCCTTGCTGGTCCTTGGAGGTTGGACCTTCCTTCGTTCGGCGCTGGCATTTGCTTAGGCTTGATCCTCTTGCCTCTGGCTGAGATTTGCTTGGCTCTACGTTGGTTGGCACTCCGCTCGCTGGCAGATCAACGCGGTCCTGAAGGCCGCAGGCTGTATCGGTTGCTTTGAGCCCCTCGGATGCCTAGTTCCGCACCTTCTGTTGAGGAGCTTAGTGCCTTGGAAAGGGAGGTGAAAGATTTGAAAGAAGAGTTGAGAGGGGTGGTGGCTTTGGTGGGCAGCTTAGCGGCTGAAGTTCAGGGATTGAGGGCTTTGGTTGGTGGGCACGACTCCTACCCCGACAGTGTAGCTTCATCCAAGGGAAATACTTTTTCTTTGGTTTCGGAGATTCGTTTGGCTGACGCTGAAGAACAGCGAGATCGAGAGAGGCAGGCTGAAGCTCGCCCTTCTGTTGCTCCCTTTCTGGAGACAGAGCGTGAAGCTGCGGTCAAGTCCATCGGATTGTTTTTGGGCCGTGCAGCCCGCGGTGAACCTCGAGGTCCTTCTGGCCGTGAGCGCATCGATCTAGCATCTCGGTATTGGGTGGTGGTGAAATCATTTGAAGGTGAAGAGTTTTCCCCGGTCAAGGTGTTCAACCGGTGGGCAGCGGCACGAGACTTGGTCAAGAAAGGGCAGGATTTGGGTCAGTCAGTTTTCGTTGGCCTACCAGCTCTACAAGACGTGCGCCTTGCTTTGTCCACAGGCGGCTTCACTTGGGGTGGAGCTGTTGAGGGATGAGCCATTCATCACCTGACGGTGGTGAGGCTGAGGTGGAAACTGTTGAAGGGGAGGCTCTCCCCTATGTGTTTGTGGACGGCAGAGTTGATTTCAATTACCCTGCTGGTCTGCTAGAGATTCACGAGCCCGAATTCATATCTACTCAAGTCATCTTGGTTTCGCTTCTTGAGGAGCAGACTTTGGTGGCACTTCCACAAGCTGCATGGCATCGGCTGCGAGCTCACAGGCAGCTCCCGCTGAACTCTCTCAGCAAAGCTACACTCGTCGAGGTGGCGGTGGCAGAGCCGGACGACCGGCACACCTTGTCGTCGGTCGAGAATTCGTTGAAGGTTTGGCTCGGGTTCCTACGAGCCGATCTGGTTGCATTGATTCAATTTCTGGAGGAGGAAGAAGGCCTGCACGAACAGACGCTGACTTTTGCTCCGGATGGTACCGCTGGTATAGTGCCCTATGCTCAAGCTTTGGTGGATGTTGCTCGAGATCACTTTGCATTCTTTTCCGCTCTGGAGAAAGAGCCAGAGCTTCCCGAGTCTGGGTCTCCGGACCTCACTGCTCGTGTTGCGACCCTCGAGGAGACGCTCAGTCAGGTTGCAGCCAACATGCAGGAGCTGTTGAACATGCAGAAGACGGCCGCTCCTGCAGGAACATCAACAAAGAAGAAGGAACCTGCCAGCGTCAGTGCTCCCGTGAAGAGTGCCTCTCCGCCAACGCGGAAAATCGATCAGGATGCTCGCAATGGTGCGTCTCTCAAGCCCTCGAGTCCAGTGGCAGCATACCCCTTGCTCGACCAGGCGGTTGTCAGGTCGGCTCTGCAAGCCGGGGTGCCAAGCGATGTACTGCAAGAGATGCAGACTCTGATGGCCGCTGCTGGGCCTGCCAAAAGGTTGAAAGAGCACAGAGCTGCGCCTCCAAAGGTCACCAACGACCTGTCCGAGTCGGAGGACGAAGATCCTCAGGCGGCCGCAAGTGGTTTAGTCGACAGTGGCTTGAACAGTCAAGATCCTATGACTCAGGCGGTGGTCAAACTCACCGACATTATGAGCACGTTGACAGCCGACAAGCGCAAGAAGAAAGCGGGTGCCCTAGAGACTGCGCTGGATGGGGTCCATGGATCAGGTGGAGATGGGGTGAGCAGTGGAGCCGGCCGACGCTCCGCCATTGCTCGGCGAGCGCTGATGAAGGCTCTCACTACGAGTCCTCAAGAGCTGTCCCAGATCATCGAGAGAAATTTGTTGGAGGACCTTGCTGGCAGAACTCGAACTCCGGGCCAACCGGAACCGACCTTTTCAGCACGTGCGTGGGTGGAGCATCGGAGCTTCATCGGGGCCTACAAGACGTTGGCGCATGCTGCTTGGGGTGTCAGTGCAATCCTGGACTGCTTGGTGTCAGGCAAGATAGAGGAAGGTCGGGCGCGTGCCGGCTTACTTCTCCTTCAACTGGACCAGACGGCTGCAGATCGAGGGAACTGGCAACTGGCGGCGACCCTGAGCCTGGAGCCTCAACCTCCGTTCACAGTGCTGGCGCAACATCATCCTCCCGACACGGCGATGGGCGAGCAGCCGTTCAGCAAGCTCTTGGATCCAAGATTTGCAGAGGTGGCTCTTGCACACCTCAAGGACACAGAGGAGTACTTGGAGAAGCGCAAGAAGCTTCAGAGAGGAGCGCTGAAAAAGGAGGAGGTGCAGAGTGGAGAGGAGACGGCTGTTCCAAAGAGGAAGGCCAAAGCCCGTCCCCGTCGAAACCAAGGGGAAGGGGCACAGCACACAGAAGCTTGAGCGACAATGGAGGGCACGTTGGCGCTCCCGATCCTGCATTGCCTAAGTCTGCAACAGTTCCGGGATCTAGAGTGTCCACCTTGCGAGTGCCTGCTTTTCTGAATTCGATGCCGAGATGGCTGCTCAAAACACCTTGTGGTCTTCGCGGTTTTTTTGCTTAGCATGCTCCGGAGCCCATCCGTCCCGCTCAGGGACGCTACATCCACGGCTTCTGCTTCGACATGGCCGATGCCAGTGCCATACCCTGAAGTGTTCCGCAAGCCTCGGGCCTCAGAGCAGGACAGTCTTTGGCAGAAGCGCCTCATTTGTTTACAGGTGGTTCTTTTGGACTGGTTTGTTTTGGGAAAGCCTGCAGTTGCTCCGCCTGGGTTGGCATTGGGTGCAAAGTTGACAGCACGACAATGGAGTGCAGTTTCAGTCATGCGGCATGTGAGCTTTGATGGAAATTTCCCCGAATTCATTGATGCTGACTTGATGGGACGGGGGGCAGCGAAGATAGAAAGCTTTGAGGACGCCATAGCTTCCTTTCACAGAGCCTTCCTCAATGATGGTTTGCAAGTGTCTCAATACTTTGGTGGCGGCCTCACCAAGCCGGACATTGATTTTCCCTTTGACCAGCTTACCTGCGGCCGCATTGTTGGTCGCATGCCCAAGATGAATGTAAGCCCAGCCAAGGAGATTGAAGCCGACAGAATAGATCTGCCAGCACCGCCCAAGTTCAATCCTGTGCCGCTGCTTGATGATCAGACTGCATATGTGTATCAGCATCCTATACAGGCAAGCATATCATTGCCCGTTTTGGATGCTGGGCCTGTGGTGCACGTCAGAGCTACGCGTGACAACAAGCTGCGGTTGTTGAGGAAATTGGCACTCAGCGGCCGGTTGCAGCCTCTTCATTGTCAGGAGGTGAGAACGGGACACTTGTCAGGATTGTTTGCAGTGCCAGTTGCAGTGCCTAAGAACCAAACTAAAGATCGGCTTATTCTGGACGCCCGCCCAGCCAATCAGGCTGATGTGGCTTTGAATCGCTGGTGTAAGAGCATGGCTTCTGCATCGATCTTGAGTGATCTGTCCTTAGAAGATCACCAAGTGTTGGCAGCTTCGGGAGAGGACCTGCGTGATTTTTTCTACCAGTTCAAGGTGTCAAAAGAGAGGACATTGCGCAATGCATTGGCCGACCCACTGACGCTGGAGGAAGCGAAGCAGGTCTTCGATCAGGACATGATTGGTTTTGATGAACCCGTGTACTGCGGCTTGGCCACCTTGGCAATGGGCGATCAGAACGCTTGTGAGTTTGCTCAGTGCTCGCACCTTTCACTCATGCTGCGTTCAGGCGTGTTGACGGAAGATGAGATGCTGTCCCTCCAGGGTGACATCCCTCGGGGGCCCATTTGTGTCGGCGTCATCATAGATGATCTGGTTTTGCTGGAGAAACTGTTGATGTCCGACCTTGCGGCTTTGCGAGAGGGGCGGCTGAGGACTGCAGCAGACGACAAGGTAGAAGCAGCCCTAGCTGGATACAATGCACAGGGTTTGGAGGTAAACCTGAAAAAAGAGTTTCGCAATGACATGCTTGCACGGTTTTGGGGCATTGAGCTCGATGGGCACAAGGGTATTGTCAGAGGCTCAACTCTGAGAATGTGGCCTTTAGCTGTCATTACATTGCGGGTCGCTATGTTGGGTTTTTCCTCGGTCACTCTATTAGAAGCAATAGCTGGATCCTGGGTTTCATTGTTTGCCGTTCGCAGGAGGTTCCTTTGTTCTATGAACATCATCTTCGAAGCCATAGGTATCAGCGATCAGGCCTTGATCATCAAGCTCTCCCCGGAACTCAAAAGTGAACTTTGGGGTCTAGCTCTCTTAGGTCCGTTAGCGGCTTGCAACCTCAGGGCAAAGCACACTTCGTTACCTCAACAGATGCTTCCAACGGGTGGCTTGCTGCCGTGCGAGCGAGTGCTCCTTTGCCGATCGTGCGTGAGGCCTGTCGCTGCGGCCTTCGCAAGGGCAAGTGGGCCAAGCTCTTGCCTCCAGACCAGGCTTGGCTCCGTTCACATGAGCTGTTGAACCCCTTGCAAGAGCTCCCTGATGGTGAAGCATATGATGCTAGGCCGTTATGGTTGGTTTTGGCCCGGGGTTTGAATTATGTGGAAAGATGGCGACGCCCTGTGTTGAAACCAGCACATATAAACATACTGGAATTGAGAGCTCACCTCATGGAAGAGCGCCGACTGTCACAAGAGTTTTGCAGCAGACGTTTTTTGTTTAGCATTGACTCTCAAGTTTCACTAGGCGCACTAGTCAAGGGTAGAGCAGCTTCGAAGGCTTTGAACAAGGAACTTTTGAAAGCGCTTCCTCACATCATCAGCTCTGACCTGTATAGCAGCTATATGTACTTTCCAAGCAAGACGAACAGAGCTGACGGGCCTACAAGAGATGATGTGCCCTTACCTCCTGATCTAGCGCTGCCGCTATGGTGGCTTGGATGAAATGGGCAGAAAAAGAAGTGATGCAGTCTCCTTTCGACTGTCACGATCTTCGCGAAAAGGCTGCCTTGAGTCTCGAGCCAGCTTCCCGCCTCAATTCCCGACAGAGGCGGAGCATCCGTGAAGAAGAGCCTCAAACGTGTGAGCACGCATCCGAGTTGAGCAGAGAAGCAGTTCAGTTGCTAGAAACTTTCCCACGACAGCAGTTTTGTCTTCCTCCTCACTTTCGTGGTTTCAATAGCAAGGGTGCCTTGGATCTTTTTTCTGGTTCGTTTGGTGCAGCAAAAGCTCTCTTACGAGCAGGGGGCCCTGGGTGCTATGTTTTGAATGGAAGAGATCTGCTAGTGAGAACTTGTTGAGTGAGGAGGTGAGAAGCAAGATTTTTCAGCTGATACGCAGCCAGGCTGTGGCTGCGTGGGGGGCAGCACCAATCTGCTCCTCTTTTTCGGTGGCTGTGACGCCGCCTGTTCGGTCGCCGAGATACCCTCGAGGCTTGCCAAATTTGAGCCCTGGCATGCGGCAGAAAGTGCGAGATGGAAACTCGCACAATGATTTTTTGAGTGATCTCATCGATGCCAGTGAGAGAGAGAGAGAACCAGTTCTTTTTTGGCAGGAGAACCCTGACACTAGTTGGTGGTGGAGGCAGAGAAGATTTTCTGCGTTCCGCCACCCAAAGGCACACAACACCTTCCGGTGCTGCTTCTGCCGCTTCGGCACAGCTTGGCGCAAAGCCACTCGGTTCGCTACCAACATACGGGGGTTAATGGGACTTCGGATGATGTGTCGGTGCGCCAAACGTCACCTGGTTCTTCGTGGTCAATCTCCCTATGGTGGTAAGCCTTGGACTTTAATAGCTGAACCATACCCACGTGGTTTGTGTGAGCTGCTAGCCAAAGCTACGGCGTGTGCAGTCGGTTGGTATAGGAATAGAAGGCTGGATGTTGCAAAGTGCAGCAAAACAGGGACTCTAAGGGCTGGTGAGGCAAAGACTCCTGGACCTCGACGCCCCAACAAAAGACGAGAAGGTAGGCTGGAAGATGTTCAGCTCCTTTCAACTGCTACTTTGATGAGGGAGGCGCGAACGCTGAAGATCTTTTTAGAGTGGGCAGCTGGATTCATACATTCCATGGAAGTTGAAGAAGTTTTCCAAAGATCGCCTTCTCTGCTAGTCTGTGCTTTGTGCTGCTTCGGAAAAGTTGAATACAATGCGGGCGGGGCTCTCAGCAACTTTCGCCACCTTGTTTTGAGCTGCCAAAAATGGACGCCACTTTGTCGACCTTTGACTGCCCCTTGCTGGGATCTCATCAGCAAGTGGGAGCGAGTGGAACCAGTGACGCACCGAGTGCCTGTTCCCGAAGGACTTGTTAAAGCTTTGGTGGTCGTTGCTTGGCATTTGCGCTGGTATTCGTGGGCCGGAGTGACTCTCTTGGCCTTCTATGGTGCTGGCAGAGTTGGAGAAGTCCTCAAATGTCGGCGAGAAGACCTGCTCATGCCGAAAGACCTCATGGATGTGGAACAGCATAGCATCTACTTGCGACTCGCTCAGTTCAAAGCGTTGGGGCGGCAAAGCGCCCGCATTCAGCACATGGAAGTTTCTGACGAACATGCAGTGAAAATTATTTGTGCAGTGTTCTCGCATTTGCCTGCTAGTTCATCTTTGTTTGTTGGAAGCCCATCCTCATACAGAAGAAGGTGGGATGCACTTTTGGAGCTGTGCCAGCTGCCGACGAGTCTGCGTTTGACCCCTGGAGGTCTGAGAGGAGGTGCAGCAGTCATGCTTTACCGAAAGCACGTGCCAATAGGAGACATCCTTTGGCGCTTGCGCCTTAGAGCTCAAACCACCCTCGAATCTTACTTGCAGGAAATGGCAGCCAGCGCAGTGTTTTCAACCTTGCACCCACGTGTTCGGGAAAGACTCTTTTCTTTTGGTACAGTTTTCAGTTTGCTCGGTTGAACGTCCCGGGATCTACCAGCTGTAGAAATTTGACAACGCTGTGAGCCTCGTCTTGCTGCCCGTTTTGTGCAACCCGGGTCGCCCTGTCAGAAGTGGAAGCGAGTTGTGCCGTCTACTCCTTTTTTAGATGGCGAAGCCAGCT